ATAAGTAGACAAAATATCTTTCAACGTGTTGCTTATGTTTTAACTCATAAAAAAATTAGCTAAAAGTTACAAAAGACCCGGAAGAAAGCTTGACAAGTAATCTTATCTGTCGAAACGATTTTTTTTTAAAAGGTGAAAAAATGTGAGATTTTAAAAACCACATTAATTCTTAATTATCTCTTTTTAATTTAAAAACAAATGTGATTTAAAAGACCTCTCGTTTCGAAAATATTGAATTTCCTTTACGATCGAAAAATACGGTTCGAAGAATCGCCACCAATATTAATCGTGATTGGGAACCCAAAAATGTTTGTTATTTTAAATAAAAATTAATTTTAATTAAAACAACAAATTAAGGTATGTGTTACCAAAATCCGAGTTCGGGAGTCGGTTACGTGTAGGGAAGGATTAGCACCCTACAACGCCTTAAATTGGTACCTAGTCGATTAATTAATGTCTTTGCATTGAACTTTACAAATTCGAACTTAATTTGATTTTTGATCCCATAAAACAATGACGTAAATTTAAAAACATTCAAAAGCACTCAAACAAATTAAATTAAAATTACCAAGTCGTTTTAGAAAGATAAAGAATGTTCGATTATTTACAAATATCGAGACCAGATCTTAAAGATATAACAACATTTTCTCGATATATTTAAATAAACGAACATTTCTTTTTCTCTCGTTCCCAAATTTTAGGTGACGAATCAATTTTTTTTGTTTCACTTTCAGGATACACTTTTATTTTAAAATCATTAAAAGCGGACCTAAAATCAGTTATGAATGCCCACTTAAAACAATTTTAAATTAAAAGGGTATTACCCTTAATCCAATTATGTAATATGTCCAGTTATGCAAATGAGGCTATCATGCAATTTGTGAAAAAAGTATGTCATACCAAAAATCAATTATACAAAATTAAAAAATAACATACAACGTGACATGCAAAAAAAATTATATACATATGTTTTAATTAATAATCATAAACCATGCATATGTTTTAATATTTATGACTAAAATTAAATAAGCATGAAATACAAAGATCAAATTTAAAAACAACATATTAGACTTAAAGACTAAAACACCAATTAACCGAAATTACATGCTAAATGCGAAAACAAACAAAAAAAAAATAACATAAACTGATGACTAAAAACGAAACACTTACAAATATGAAAATCAAATTAAAAACATGGAAATTCCGATTTAGTGACTAAAATGAAATGAACGAAACAATGTATAACTAAATTAAAAAAAAAACAGAAAAGATTATATTCAATCACTAAGATATAACATGAAAAGAATTACGAGCCAAATGCATAAGTAAACGGAAAATAAATATACTAGCATCCATGACTAAATTCAAATGTTCATGAAATAAGAAGACAAAATTAAAACATAAAAGATTCGGCTTTAGGACCAGAATGTATAACCTTGAAAGTTGAATGGCTCACGCTGTGGATAACCCACACGAGAAATGGGTACTCTAAACAGCTAAACGACGTCGCTTTATCCATGTTAATTAAAACCTAAGATTTAATCCTAAAGACTAAGCATTCTTTCTGTTTGACTCAACCCCCCAGCGCCGTTTCACATCTCATTCTCAGACCCCTCTCTTATCTTCTTCTCCAATTGAAAACTTTGAAGCTCTCTCACTCTCTTCCTCTCGACCCTCTGTGATAATCCTAAAGCCCTATATGGGCACGATTCACCTTCCCGACAAACACCGTGGTTGTCACCAGCGATGAAGCACCTTGAACCGACCTAATGAGCCTAAACGCCTCCTTCTTCTCTAAACCCCAACCAAAACGACCGACCGACACCACCTATGGACTCCGATGAAGACCTAAACCGGCGAGATAAGCTAAGCTGAACCTTTCTTTTAACGTTTCTTCTGGTTTTGCTTCTAGTCTAAACAAGATTTCAAAACGTACGAAACCAACATGACTCGGTGTTGAACCGATCTCAGACCACGAATCCGAGAGCTTCGCCCCCTAAACACCAAAGAAAAACGAACCAAACGGGACAGAAACCCAACCTCGACGCAGCAACGACATCGACAATCAATCAAAACAGAATCAGAGGTAAATCTAACTGTTTATTTCTATCTTCCTTACCTTTATTTTCTTCCTAAATAAATACCACTTATACGAATAGTTACTAAAAATAAACAAAATAAAATGAAATACCTCCTTATTAATGCTTGTTGTTTTTTTTTTGTTGCCTTTGCTTGAAAGAATGCTACTGCCCTTTTATGAATGATTGATATCCTTGCGATCGTGAGAGTGAAATCAGGAGAGAAAAAAAAAAGTTTCTTTTTATTGCTTTCCAAATGTTTAACCAGAAACTTTTACAAATTCCCCTCTTTCCCTTGCGTTCTCTCTGTAATCCCTTACTCGTTTTTTCTTTCTTTTTTTTTTCTGTGTAACCCCCTATCTTTTGTTCTCACCCCTTATTGTGTATGTGATGATCGTGTATTGCCAATCCAAACCGACCCCCACTCTCTATAAACTGTTCCCCCTCTTTTCCTGCTCAAAACTGCATGTCTTATTGGCATAATCCAACTAAGCACGGGTTGGGTTAGATAATCATGTTGGGCTCGATTCAAATTGTTTAATCTGCTATAAGCCCGGACAAAACGAGCATCTACACTATCAAGCCCTACCAAGCGCAACCAACATGGAACAATCAAATTGTCATTTAACAGGAAGTGAAATATGAATATAGGCAAGAACGCACATAAAAAGATCAAAACTTTTCAGCTTCTGATATAAAGAGTAAAGCTTTATGAGGTTAATAAAATATTGGTGATATCTGGGAACTTCTCTTTAAGGGCGGCTTTGATTCCCGATCCAATCGATTCGGGACCTGTGTAGTTCACAACGCATTCCCCGCCATCAATGGAAAATACTTCAACGCTCCCACCGTAATTCTTGATAGTTGGTCTCAGTATATCAAGATGACGATTCACTGCCTGTTTACTCGCGAATTCCAAACAAATTTCAATTTAGATGAATAATCTTTGTTTTGTTATTTTCGACGAATCTCAAGTTTGGGATAGAAAATTCACCTCGACGGTTGTTTCCTTCACTACATCGTCGTACACTTGCCAGATTTCCTTGACTGCATCCCCAAAATTTTCTTTCAAAACCCTTTCGATCTCCATTTTCATGGTAGTTGTTGAGCTAGGGCAGCTCTCACATGCTCCTGAAACTCGATCAACTCTACATTAGCCAAAAGCACATGGATAATTAAATCATGAAACGAAGATAAAAAATAGTGACCAGGAGTTTGAGAGAGACGTCGCCGTCTTCGACGGACAAAACGTCGACGTTTCCACCATCGAAGATCAATTAAAGCCTCACATCCTCCAGAATCAGGTCCACGTTTTGAGCGGTGAGCTCGAACTGCTTCGACGAGTACAGTCCGAGAGACGAGCCGGTGGCCACGCCTGGGCCGGGGCTCGACGCTTTTACGTCGTTTTCAGTCGGATTCTTCTCGGAGGGACCCGTCTGCGTTGATTTAGGGATGAGTATAAAGGCGCAACAATACCTGAAATTACCTTTGTGGCTACAGGGAACTTAGCGAAACTGATGCCCCTATATGTTGCCCTAGGCCGTCGCCCATCTGACACATGTATTGGGCCGGCCCTGAGGACGGGAAATTCATGGCACAGGCTGAGATAGCCGATAAGATTATGGGATTGCTGGTTGCCGGATACAGCACGGTGGCTACTGCTATGATTTTCTTCTTGAAGTACGTGGGTGAAAGGCCTGATATTTATGCCAAAATTCTAGCAGGTAATCACACAGTGGATTGGATAAGATGTTACTTAGACTAGACTAGACGATTACTTATTTAAATTCCCTAAAATGAAAAACAGAACAATTAGAAGTGGAAAGAGGGAAAAAGGCAGGGCAGGGGTTGGAATGGGATGACATACAGAAAATGAAGTATTCATGGAATGTGGTGTACGACGTGATGAGACTCACACCTCCACTTCAAGGCACTTCAAGGAACTTTCAGACTCGCTCTAACTGATTTTACTTATGCTGGTTACACTGTTCCCAAAGGCTGGAAGGTAAATTCTTCTTTAGCCTTTTGTTTTTGTAAATTCCGCCTTGAAGGAATAATGTATACAAATGTGTATGCAGATATATTGGACAGTGAGCACAACAAACATGAACCCAGTCTACTTTCCAAAACCAGAGGAATTCCAACCATCCAGGTACGATGAAGGAAACAAGCTCCCACCATTTGTTTTTGTTCCATTCGGAGGCGGGCCTCGGATGTGTCCCGGCAAAGAATATGCTCGCCTCGTTATTCTCACTTTCGTCCATAACTTTGTCAAAAGGTTTCAATGGGAGTTGGTCAATCCCAAGGAAAAGATTGTGTGCCATATGATGCCAACACCTGCTAATGCCCTCCCCCATCCGTCTAACTGCACGTCATTGAACTACATTTTCTTCTTCTTCCTTAATGTGTAACAAATATTTAGAATTTTCCATAGTTTGATGTAATGTTATTGAATCCTAAAATCTTTTATTTTAATTTATTCTTTAATTGAAAAGGAAGAGTTGCTGTCTTTCCTTTTTATTACAATGGTTGAATAACAAGCTCCCACCATATGTTTCTCTTTAACTTCTTTTTCCCCCTTTTGAATGTGTCTTTAGCTCTTAACCTGCAACTTTCAGCTTTATAATATTCAATATGTATTATTTGACATTACAATTGCATGTAATTACTGTAGTGTGTTTGCCTACCAATCCATATCTCCCGATTTGGACATCACAAAGGGCCACGATGCCACGACAGTCAGCCAACAGAAAAACCAGTCCATTAGATTATCAAACGCAATCAATAATCATTTATAATGGTTTTAAAACATTTTAAATTTAAAATGTTACACATTTGTAATATATTTTTTAACATAGAAACGTATTTCTAACAATGTACTTGAAACATAGTTGCATGATATAAATGTTTTTGAAAAACAACTATATAAATCTCCAGAAAACATTTGAAAAAGTAGTGATAAATCCGAAACACACCAGTAGCAGTACATGCTAATGCCCATAAAAAAAAACTGTACATCCACCGATACAGTCCTGACTATTCCGATACTTAATCAAACACCATTTATCTTTTTGATTTTGGGGACATAATTGAACAGCAGTTTGTAAATGGCAAGTGACACAGCATTTTCTTTCTTCTCACTCTCCTCTTCCAGTTGCTTCAAATCCGTCACAAAATGGCTAAAGACCTCAACCTTTGTGATGAAATGTATAACACCAAAAAATAAATAAAATTAAAGAACTATAATGAAATAAAATGAAGACTCCAAAGTAATACAATCTAAAGCTATATAAACTGACAACATGGTAACATATACCTACTACTTTGGACATGTTGCTGAATTCCCTATTACACCAGGTACCTAGTAGAATACAAGTATTGTCCACTCTGTCTAGCATGGATAAGCTCATTTTTTTTTAAAAAAATTGAACATGCACATGGAAGATCCTTAAATTCCTAATAACCCTAAAGGAACACGAATATGGAACACAATTACTTCACCAAATAAAATGAAGAGGCAAAACATAAAGCTATGTAAACCGATAGCATGACAGCATCTACATAAAGGACATTGCCTTCTGCAACTCTTACATGCATCGATCATACTAAATGACATTTTTTTTATCTTCGTTTCTTATTTCTAATTTTGGCACCCATGGAAAAGATGCATGATTCACCTATTAACTACAAATAACAAAAGTAACACAAAGTTAAGCACTTAACTACTATTGGACACACTCAACAGTGCTATCCACAATGGTTCTTCTCAAGAATCAAAAGTTAAGCTACTCGGACTAATTCAAGGATGAGCATCAAACACAAACATATAACTCCGGTTCATGCATACAGTTATATGTTTTAGACATAGTTGTTGATCACAGGTACTAGAAAAGAAATGTGAAGTCTGGATAAAATAAATTGAAGGACATTTTTTAATTAACAAATTTCAATACTAACAATGAAATACTTTAAGGAAAATCCCCACATAGAAATATAGCCACCAAAACTCTTAAAAATGCAACTACAAAGTTTAGGTTAAAGATAAAGCATACACATTCAACATGATAAACATTCACAAGTGAAGTTTTCTCTCCAAGACTCAAACAAGGCAACATAAGTTTACACAAACATATGAAATGAAGAAAACCTGCATGCTGATCTCTTAAGAAGACTCAGCTTCATAAATGACTAAACTAGTCCTAGTTACTCTCTTGCACATTATTGCCGGTAAAATATCATCTAGCGGTCCAGCAAAATAGACAATAGAAGCAACTGGAAGCCGAAATATGCCGTACCAAATCAAAAGCACTCCTACTGCTGCTGCTGATTCTGTTGCTGGTTTTGTGGCGGTGGTGGCATTCCAGGGCGTGGAGGCCCGAAAACAGGTACAGCACCAGGCGGAGGCATTCCTGGCCGTGGTGGAGGTGGACCGGGCATCCCAGGCCTCGGAGGTGGCGGACCAGGGGGGCCTCTCATCATTGGTCCCGGAGGTGGAACCATAGGCCTCTGACCAAATTGTGGTGGTGGGACTTGGTATTGCTGTGGAGGTCTTACTCCAAAAGCTGGTGGCGGTACCGATGGAGGTGGGCCGCGTTGCATCTGAGGTTGTTGTGGCTGACCAGGGTAAGCCCCAGGCGGCATTTGCCCGGGCGGACGAATCACAGGCGGACCTCCACCAGGAGCAGGGTAAGACATCGGAGGAGCCGAAAGCTGCGGAATCGGCGGGCGTGAAATCTGGGGCTGCATCATCCCAGGAGCCGGACCACCAACGCCACGAACCGGGCCAGCAAGACCCAGCTGCGCTTGAACGAGAGGACCGGTAGGGATCCCACGGCCAGCAGCACGACCAATACCAGGTCCAGGGACGGCATTAGCGGCAGCGGACTTAGAACGAGACTCTTCAGGAGGAGGAGGACCCTCGACGGTCATAGAGATAACCTCTTCTCCACGGACAAGAACAAGGCCAAGCGTTCGACGATCTTCACGTTCCTCGTTGGTGCTAGGGTTTTTCTTCCCTTTAGCAGGAGGAAGCTTGCGGAACTCCTCGCAGTCGCCGAGGACGAGATTCATGTGGCGATCGAAAGCCATGAATTTTCCCACCAGCTGCCGGCCGTCTTGGATAGTGACCCGCATCCGGTAGTTGATGAACTGAAGCATTTTGGAACTCTTTGACAGCGACATTTTGGCGATTCAAAGTGCCGAACGGTGAGACTGGGGAAGAGGGGAAAAAACCTAGCTAGGGTTTTGAATTTTAATATCTCAAGCGGGCTTCAAGAGAGAGGGGATCTGTTCTTTATTACCCCTCGTCTGCCCATAGTAAGTGGGCCATAGATTAGGCCCAAAAGCTTTGGTTGGGTCAAAAGCTTTGATTTGATTTCCTACGTTAGTGACATTTCTCCTTCTTTACCCGTTTAGGATTTTCCACAATATTAATATGTTTTTTACTACCAATATTTCTTCATTATTATAACAAGAAAATCAAATCAGCTTTTATCTTCATCCACACACTTTTATAAAACAATCACATGCAAGTAATAAAATAAATGGATTGTATATCATGGTGTACCTCATCTATTGTGCGATACCAGACGGTGTATCATAGTGTATGCTTTTCGCTGACGACATTGTCTTAGTTGCTGAAACAAAAACTGAGTTGAATAGTAGATTGGCTACCTGGAAGACTGCTTTGGAAGAAAAATGTTTAAGGATCAATATTGAAAAGACATAGTATTTATGTTCAAACTTCAGTAGGAACCAAAACGATGAAGATGTAGAAGTATGCATAGAAGGACATGTTCTCACCTCAAAGGATTGTTTCAAGTACTTAGGGTCTATGATACATAAATATGGGGTGTGGATGATAACGTTACACATCGTATAAATGCGGGATGGCTAAAGTGGAGGGCTGCTATTTAACACCCCCAACCCGTACCCGACCAGATACGAGTCCGAGATGTCACATTGCCTTTTTAAAACCATATTCTTACAAAATTTCAAAACATTTGAACTTATATTAAGAAAATACGATCATATATTGTTCAATTGTGTTTGGTATACAATTTTGAGATAAAAACGTATTTATGAACAGTAAAATACGTTATGAACAATACCGTGAACATTAATGAACAAAGTCATGAACAGTGCTACAGTGCATCGATGCACCAAAATGTCAAAGCAAATTTATGCATCGATGCACTGCTACATTACTGTTACAATGATTTTCGTAAAACATACATAAAACTCGTAAAAATTTAACCATTCATTACTATACATTTACATTTACATACGTTTAAACATTAGAAAACTCATTCATATGATTTTACAAACCAATTAGAGCATATCGTATTCAAATCTTTATTACATGCCAACCACTATAACTATTACAAAATACATATTATTAACTTCTTTGCTAATCTGATCTTTGGAAATGAGAAACTGACATGTCTTGCATAATTTTTATCAATCTTTTCTTCTCGAAACCTACGTGTGAAACAATCACACGTTAAGTCATAGACTTAGTGAGGCATATAAACATATAATGGAAACCATAAAACATTTCATAAATAAATACACTTAACCTCATATATTTCATATCAAATGCATGAACATTTATTACGATAATATCATATAAAACATATATTATTTGTGTAACATATACCCACATGCACATATATCCTGATCAACACGTTTAACATTTCATATTCATTATACTTATTAAATCTCTTTATTAGCTCATGTACACTGTTGAGAACTGAAGGTATGTGAGTACATTGAGGTTGTTATAAACTCCCACTAGGGGCACTGAATATTTGTCCCGAATGACCGCGTAGAAATGTCCCTGAGGACCACTATGTCCCTGAGGACCACTATGTCCCGAAGGACCACATATCACATATGTCCCGAAGGACCACTCCTTAAGAACCATATACATAATACAATGGACCAAATAAGTGTACCGAAGTACCACATAAATGTTCCACAGAATTACATATATGTCCCGAAGGACCACGTAGAATTGTCCCGAAGGACCGCGTAGACCCTCGACTTTTGGCATGCCAACTATACCTATTGCTCTCGTATCATATAACATAGGCATTTTTCTTTTGCTTTATATATTCATGTACTCATATCATTGCTCTTATGATCACATATTACATGTGCATATAATCACGTAGTTTCCTTTCATGTAATTCATGTCACTTTCCATATGAATTCATATTCATATATCACATAGCTCGTATCACTTTGCATGAATTCACATAAACATATATATCATTTGATTCATGTCTTATTCTTATATCATATATATATATATATATCATCTATGTTCCATCACTTAATCTCATATCATATAACATATATCACATAGCACATAGAATAACATGTCAGATATAGCTTGTCATTTATATCAATACCACATATAATAACATTCATCAATTTCTATGTACTAATGCACACATAATAATCACATAGCATTTTAGAAGTTACTTCTTACCATAGTAACTCCATCACTTGCTCATCGCAAGCCAATGTTTGTTCAATAACCTAAGTACAAATTAAATTGCACTCACCTTAGCATTGCTTGCTTTGATTCAATCCTAACTCTTCGATTGCTCTATAACTCGTTTAGGCTCGATATCTACATAAATATAATTTTCAAGACAATTATAAGAAGCCTAAACCTTATAATTCGATACTAATAACTCGAACTAATTTAATAACTCAAAAATTCAGTTTTCCTTTAGGGGTGTACCGATGCACAATGGATGCACGGTACACAAAATAGCTTCGAAATTCTCATGCATCGATGCACTCCTTAATGTATTGATGCACCTTCAAAATTTGTCTTAGTGCATCGATACATACTCATAGTGTATCGATGCACCTGTCCAAAATAGCCCGAAATTAATCAATACTTCACCCAAATTTTCATGTATAAAATCCTTATCATGCTACTAAATTCATCTATAACAACTTTAACCAATTTCTATCATTCCAACACCCTATAATCTTCCATATTTCGTCCAAATTCTTAAAGCTAAGAATCATACCAAATTTTTCATGTTATCCAAACTTGATTCTAACACTTCTAACTTCTTATTCTCATAGATGACAAGTCAAATTCATCCTCCAAATTCATTTAAACATTCTTATTCAAAATTTCACTTAAAACCCCATTTTCTTTAATCTTTCATAACTTCTTTATCTTTTGATTTTAAGACAAATTAAGCTTTCCTTAAGCTTAATTTTCATCTAAGGATCAAAACCCAACCTTTAATTGAACAAATAATCAACTAATTAGAAAACTTACCTTTGCTTGGAACCTCACGTTAGAGAAGAGAAGAAGATGAAGATGGGAGAAATGTCTGGAAATTTAATTCCCAACATATGCTCCCCATAGGTATTATAATACCCCATTAATTATTATTTTATTATTTCCTTTGTTCAATGACCATTTTGCCCTTTATTTCCTTTGATAATTACTAAAAACTTTCAGGAAATACTTTCAAATAAATCATTGAACCTTTCAATTTTTACACTTTAATCACCAAATTCTGAAATTTTACAATTTAATCACTAACCCATAATTTGAGATGTTACATGCTACTGGAGTTTTGTGTGACAAGAAGGTGCCTCTAAAACTTAAGGGAAAATTTTATAGAATGGCAATAAGACCAGCACTGCTGTATGAATCAGAACGTTGGGCAATCAAGAAGGATCACGTAAGGAGGATGGAGGCCGCAGAAATGAGAATGCTTCGATGGGCATGTGGTAGGACTCTGTGGGACATGACACCAAACTCTTCTATTAGGATGTCCTTGGGGGTAGTGTTTGTATCCAAAAAATTGAGGGAGGGAAGACTACGATGGTTTGGGCATGTCCTTAGGTGACAACCGTCAGATGCGGTCAGGAGGGTAGAGTCGGTTCCAGTCGCCAGAAGGAGAGGACGACCAAGGCGGAAGTGAGAAGACTGCTTGAGATCTGATTTGAAGGATTTAGCTCTTACCGAGGACATGACCTCTGATAGGAAAGTATGGAGACTTAATATCAGGGTAGCCGAGTAGTGCGGGTCACATCCATAGGATGTATCATCTCTCTCTTCTTTTAATGTCTTTGTAGTAATTTCCATAAATTCTACTTTTTATACGTTTTTATCATTGGAATTTATGAAGGCTTAGAACTATGGTAGCGGAGTAGTGTTGCTTTAGTTTAGGTTTTAACCCATTTGACTTTATTCCTTCTCGTAGCTTGCTATCGTTGACTTCTGTATATCTTTCTCTTCATGTTTCCTCTTTTTAAATTTAGTCGGGTCTTACGTTTCTGTCTATATGCATAGATTTTTACGCAGAAATTTATTGGCAGTGATTACTTCTCATTACAGACACGCATATGAAGACTGCATATGAAGACTGTTCAACTATGTATTTATTTATTTATATATGAATTGCATTTTATCTTTATTTTTAATTTTCTGACTGCCGGAGGTGTTCCACAGAAGCTCTCAACCTGGCGTTGGGGGTAACCTACTACCCTACCTCCCCTTACCATATTGTATATGGAAATATGGTTTTGTTGTTGTTGTATATCATATAATGAATTGGTTGCCCGATATAACTAACTTCCCAAGTAATGGGAAATAATAGCAGTGGAAAATTATCTGAATTTTTCCTCCCCTCTTCTATGCCTAACATAGAATAAAAACAGTAGAAATCTGAGTTATTTGGGGTCTGCTATTTAACCCTCTTTCTTTCTTTCACTACATAAACCCATCATCTATGATGAATTGTATCCGTTACGGTGCTCCTTTAACCATTTCCATACAATCTGTAAACTCTCCTCAAGATCGGTGTATCGAGCTGTCTAGTTCAGTTATTGCCTGATCTTAGACGGATCACTGAACACTTCTGCGTAATCTCCAGGTCGACGGGGAATATAATCAACTTTTATATCAGCTCTCATGGCTTTCTTACATGCCTCTACAAACTCCTTCACTGATCTTCCTTTTCCCGTGCCGACGTTGTAGATTCCTACATTACGAGGCTTTGCGTGTTGAAGAGCTTTAATGTGAGCGTCAACCAGGTCTGTAACATCGATGTAATCACGTATGCAAGTTCCGTCGTGTGTTTTGTAGTCTGTTCCCTTCACCTGTAGAGATATGCACCAGGGTTTAATAAGAGAGCACTTAAGACGATGAGTAAAGTGAAGGGGGAGAAAGGAATAGCTTACTTTGATACCAGGAATGATGTCACGAGCTGCATCGAAACAAGCACCCGAAATTCTTCCTTGGTCACGCAACTCGAGTCTTGGAGCTTCGCCTAATCTTCTTTCCGGATCCGATCCAATCACATTGAAGTATCTGAAAGACGTTCCATAAAAAACACAAGCATATTGTTGGAATATGATAATCTGCAAAATCTAAATTGTCGGAACGCTTGGAAAGTGAAGAAAAATACTAACCTTAGGATCATAATTGCCATGTCTGAATTCTTAGAGAAATCCATAATCATATCCTCTGCCATCTTCTTAGCTTTTCCATATTGATTGATTGGAACCTGAGTAGGTTCCGAAACAAAGTCAGTTGTCGTATGCTATAACCGTTATATTAGAAAATAACTAAACATTAAACCATATTTGCAGCTTGCCTGTGGGGTTTCTTCAGTGATAGGCATCTTTTCAGGCTCGCCGTACGTCGCACATGTACTAGATTATATCAAAGTCGGAACACTGTGAGCAGCCATCGACTTCAAGACCGTCAAGGTGTTCGAAGTAATGTTGTGATAATACCTGCAAGTCGTATGGCCAAACAATACCATTGATATCATCATAGTTTACATATCATGGAAAGAGATATTTCAACTAATAAATGGTAAAGGAGACTTACCATTAAAATTATAACTTTCATATTAAATTGGTCCGTAAATTATAAATTATCATATATCATTTATATCATTAATAATTTTGATAGTAATTTAATATATTTAATAATTATTCATGATTTTTAAAAAATGATCAAAGTGGTCATCGAAATATAATTTAGTAATATATTATGTACTCTATCAAAAAGATATTGTTTGAAATTTAAAGTGATGCATGAAGCACCCACCTGTGAAATAAAAGTGTACTCGCAACACAAATTGAATAGCTTTGATATTGGCGAAAATAAAATTAAATAATAATAAAGAAAAAATATGAAGAACCAATGAAATGAGGGCATTTGTGTTGTGAGAATCGAAATGGTCGTAAATAAAAGGCGCGAAATGCGACATGTGCATGATCACAGGGTCTTAGATTCACTAATTACATGCAAACATGTCGCCCTCCTAACAATTTTGGTCCCACGAGTTAGATTTTAATATACATTTAATATTTTGTTAAAGGATAAATTACACAAATGGACCCCAAATTATAAATATTATTTTATTGAATTTTTTAACTATTAAAAGTTATAAAATTATATCTCGACTTTAGGGAGTAATTTTGTTGAATCACTCGACTATTAAAAGTTACAAAATGGTCACAAGATTATTCATTATGTTCCCAACTCATCAATTTCTATTAAAGTTATCTGAGTCAGTCGTTAACATACTAATTGAGATATAATAAAGGGTAAATTATGCGTTTGGTACCTAAACTATTAGTTTTGGTCTGTTTTAGTTCCTAAACTTTCAATTTTTTCAACATCATACCTAACATTTAGTTTTTGTTTCATTTTTGTACTATGTCGTTAATAACTTAACGGACGAGCTAAAAACACATAGCTCCAAAGGACAAACGATCAATCCGAACGGTGGACCACGAGAGAATGACAAGTCAACAAACATAGTGTAGTTTTAGGCTCATTGAATGATTGACAAAAGAGATTAGAGGATGAAGAAGTCGAAGAGTCTATCGTCGATTTTGGGAGATTGAGGTATTTTTCAATGAAACAGAGGTCGAAATCACGTTCATGTGGTCGAAAATATGCGTGATGGAAAGTTTGAGCTTCATCGATTAAAGAATGCGATGGCCGACAACTGTAGACGGGGTGGCTGGCGAGCCCGTCCGTTAAGTTTTTAACGGTTGAATACTAAAATAAAACAAAAACTAAATGTTAGGTATGCTTTTGAAAAAGTTTAAAGTTTAGGTACTAAAAAGATAAAAACTAATAGTTTAGGTACTAAATGCATAGTTTATACTATAATAAAAGTTGATATTGTCATATTAAACGACTATCATATTTCAGCCAGTATATTAACGTCCAACTCAGATGACCGTTAATTTTTTTATAAAAAAAAATGATAAGTTTAGAACATAATGAATAGTCAGGTGACCATTGTAACTTTTAATAGTCAAGTGATTCGATAAAAGCAACGTACTATAATCGGAGAACCATTTTATAATTTTTAATGGTCACATAGTTCAACAAAATAATATCTTATAGTCAGGGACTATTTGTGTGTTTTATCCTTTAACAAAATATTTTATGATATGTAAAGAATTTTTATTCTCAAATTAGTACTTCCAAATTAATATTTAAATTTTATTTTTATTTTTTATTCTGATATTTATAAAATGATATTAACTTTTATAACATAATAACATAATGTATCGATGATATCATTATTCATGTTCTTATAAAATTAAAATTAAACATTTATTAAAAATATAATACCAGAAATAAAATTAAAATCTAGATAAAATTTTTAAAATGAAAATTTTCTATATACTAATTTGAGAGAAAATATTTAATCTAGAGTCAATTTAAAAGTAAAAAAATAGATATTAAGATGCCTTAGCAACACATAAAATATAATGTGTATGTACACGTACTAACTTATTTCAGTGGTCAAAAGAATCATTATTGTTTCTAAAAATCATAAATTCTTGCATAAATAATTGAGTATTTATTGTCAAATAATTTAAAATAGGTATTATTATATAATTACGTTAATTTAATAATATATATAACGTGTGCAATTAATGTGCAGCGGCATGTCACTTCCAACTTTTTCTACATTGATTGTATCATTGACCCTCGACCAAGCTTTTCTGTTCATCACCAAAGCTTATATCACATTTTACTAAAAAATAGAGACAAATCCTGAATATTTATTAAGATCGGTATAAAATTATAAGATTTTAGATGGTCAAAACTAGATTATGTAAAAAAAACATAAGAAGTGGACATATATCTCTTTTATTTTATTGAAAATAATATATATAAATTTTAATAGTACAAAAATAATATTAAAAATCAGTTATTTAATAACACTACTCACGTTTATACATAACTTCCCATTTTTTATAGTTTTTGAAAGTAAAAATTAAAGTTACTGTATGTTTTTTAATCTTTTTCACCCATGTTTGTCGGTGTATGGAAATCTGGTTGTATTTATAGACCTAGATCAGGTTGGGTCTGTTTTGTTGTTAAACCGACCCGATCCGAGAATAAGAAATCATCTACTCGAGATTCGATCTGATCCGATTAAAATAAGATTTACCGACCTGATATATAACTTAAAAACCCGACCCGACTCTACTCGAAATAATAAAAAATATTATTTTATTCAATAAAAACAGTAACTTAATTGAAAAAATAATATATATAAAGATATTATTGTAATTATTACTAAATATATAAAGTAAAATTATATATATTTTTCGGGTCGGGTCGAGTAATATATTTTCACCTTAAACCCGAAATCAACTGACCCGAACACCTTATTTAAAAAACCCGAATCGACCCGACTTGAACCCAATTTAAAAAAACCCAACATGATGTCGGGTCGAAACACGTAAGGTTCGAGTCTCATGTCAATCCCTAGTTATATTATTATATACACATGGCAACCAGCGAAAGGTTAAAAGAGCGGAAGGCTCAACAGGAAATAGTAGCTTCAATCGTTCATATAATGATAAATTACACTATTAATCATCAAACTTTAGATTTTATATTGATTTTAGCATTAAGCTTTAAAATACTTTAATGTAAGTGTCGAGTTTTTTAATTTTAGATTCAATTATAATATATGATCATTAAATTATTAACATGATAAGATGATCGTTTCTTGTAAAATAAAATTGAACTCTTTAGATTATTTTAGATTCAATTTTAGATTATTTTAATGATAAAATAAAATTGAAGTTCAAAGTAATGGAACTCTTTTTCTTGGTTCAATTACTAAATCAATTGAACTGGCTTGTTGTATTGAAAAATATTGTAAATATCAAATAAATAATTAATACTGAACAAGTATTAAAATACATCAAATATTTAATAAAAATACATATTTTATTAACCAATATGAATTTAAGGTTTAATGCTCTAACTTCACCATTCATATATATATTTTTAAATCTTCATTTGCATATCTGCATATGTTAACTAAACCAAGTTTGATACAATCATCCTCATTTGGTTATATGCAGGAACTTGAATCATGCCCAAGGCAAGTTGAAGTGCTGAAAGAAATGGTGAAAGGAAATGTTAATGGCTTCTACAGTTGATCCAATACATAATATTTTCTTGATAAATACCCTATGCCGCCTAGGAGTATCGCACCACTTCCAGACTGAAATACAAAAGCAGTCAACTCTCCGTTTTGATACACTGTGCCAACTCACGGACAACAACGATTATGATTTGCACACTCCTATTTCAAGTCTTTAGATATCCAATCTAATATTTATCCTGCCCATATATATATACATATGTGCTATAATGATAATGAAATGAATTGGATTTTGAATCAGATGATTTTAATAAATTCAAGGACGGGAATGGTGAGTTCATAGTCATTGATATGAAAGGGATGATAAGCTTATATATATGAAGCCACCCATTTTAGAACAAATGGTGAACTTGTTCTAGATGATGCTTTTCCTTTCACACCATCGCAATTGATGGTCTGTTTGTTTAGCTGTAATTGGTTTTCCAGAAAATGAATTACTGTAATTTGAATTACTGGAATTTGAATTACTGGAAAATGAATTACTGGAATTTGAATTCTGGAAAATGAATTACATTTTTGTAAAATGAATTACATTTCTGGAAAATGAATTACATTTCTGGAAAACATCTGGAAAACGTTTTATGATGTTTGGAAGATGTTATTTAAACATTTTTTCGGTATATTTTAGTGAAATAAAATTTTATAAATTATATTAATTATTTATTAAAGTAATAGTACTATATTATATTTTAAAAATATTAATTAGTATATTTTAATATCTTTACTAAAATATTATTGAAATATATATATATTATTATTATTAAAATATATATATTATATATTATTAAAATAAATAATATAATATTAAAATATAATATTATATAATATTATAATATTAATAAATATATTTTAAATATTTTAATAATTAATATTTTTATGAAAATGATATTAAAATATTTTATTAATATTAAATTCATAAAATAAATTATTTTGAGTATTTTGCTTTGAAGTGAAAAGTTCGGAAAATGACTTACGGAAAATGAATCCGTAAGTCATTTTACAGAAAACACAAAGGAAATTCTGTTACTAGGAAAATGAATTACATTCCGGAAAACGAATTACGTGAAACAAACACGGGAAAACGTTTTCCGGAAAACGAATTACGTGAAACAAACACGGGAAAACATTTTCCGGAAAACGAATTACGTGAAACAAACACGGGAATTCGGGGAAAACCAATTCCGTAATTCCAATTACGGGAAACAAACATACCCTGAGGTCCATGAAGAGCCAATTATCAAGTCCACACTGTGCTGGATACATCGTAAATGCCCTCAGCCGCCCCTACCACATGTGGTGGTTCTTTACGAGCAAGACAATGGATTTTCAAACCAGATTGTGATGCGAGCTCTTAATTGTGCACGTTTGTTGGAGGTTCTTGACGAGCAAGACAATGGATTTTTCAATACCGGAATTATCCTTGAAAGATCACAGCGCCAAATTGCTACTTCATCCTTACCCCTTTAAGAAGTTCTATAAACTGTGAATGCCTTTGTTTCATCCTGTCATTGAAAATAAATTTACTGTATTTCACTTGCCAATTATGTTGGCCTATGAGTTGTTGCAAATTGTGTTGGTCTGAGACTGTTATATTATATGATTGACATTGGACCGGTGCTGGTATCTTAGTCTTCAAAGGCGATATACAGGTGGTATCTACGCATGTCCATAATGAATTTTTCTGGCTCGGTGGTATCTTAATCTTAAGCTTTCATCTACATATATAGGCTCGGTTGGCTTTCATTAACTTTTAATTACTCTGTTTGGTTCATGAGAAAATTGATGCACATGGAGTGGTTTATGGAGTAGCTGTATATTCGTGCATTAAAGAGTGTTGTAGCCATAATATTGAGATTACAAGCAGATAAGCAAGTCAGAAGCAAAACGGAACAGTCTATCCTATTCCACCGCCGGCAAGACCGTGCTGCAGCCAAACTTCAACTCGCTACCCTTGCCAAGTGAAGGTTCCAATGAATGTTGAATTCAGATTAAGCTTGAATCAGTGAAATTTGGCAAATTAGGTACATGAAAAGGGTAGCGATGTAATTGCAATTGAATGCAACCAAATGAGCCAATAAGTGAAGGAATGAGCGACTAAATCTCAGCCACATTAAGAGCACGTGGCCCCCTCTCTTGTCTCCACCACCTAGCCCTCTCGTCTCACTGTCTTCCTCCGTTTATGTATAGATATATGTTACCTTTGGTTCATTCGAAAGCATAAATTAATTAATATGTCAACCGCCGTTGCACCATGCATCTCCGATGATTCAGTGCCATTATTATCGCCACCGTCGACGGTTCCATATTTAAGCCCATATGAATCACAGAAGTGTCGTGATTGGATAACATTCGGGCAGTACATGAAGAACCACAGACCACCCTTGGTTCTCTACTGCTGCAGCGGAGCACACGTCCTCGAGTTCCTCAAAATACTTGGACCATTCGGAAAAACCAAAGTCCACGTACAAAACTGTGCTTTTTTCGGTCAGCTTCATCCACCGGGGACTTGTCCTTGCCCTATGAAGCAAGCTTGGGGCAGCTTGGACGCGCCTTCGAGAGAACGGCGGCCGACCTGAGATGAACCCTTTCGCTGCTCGTGCTGTGAGGTTGTATTTAAAGGAAGTGAGGAACGATCAGGGAAGGCTAGACGGATAGCTTACGAGAAGAAGAAGAAGAGAAAGAAACCACAACCGTAGCGATTACACTGCTCGACAGCCACTCATGGCGATCGGTTTCAGCAATATGGTTCGAGTTCGACCCATTCCTCTAAGTCGAACGGGCCTATACTAAGCATGGTGGCTCGGGATGGTCCATGAGCGCACTGTCTGTGTTAAATTAAAAATTTATTTCTTTTAATAGTAATATATAATATTTTAATCTAATTTCCCTCGTACTATGCTCAACTACACCGATTAAGTTATAGATGTACTGTCAGTATAATTTTCATAAATTTTTCGTAATTATTAATAATATATATTACATATACAATTCTTTAAACTTAAAATTTCATAAAAATAATATTATCTTTAATTATTGAATAATAATATTTTTAATCATTAATTCATTCAATAATATTTTTGGTTAATTTGTTTTAATATACAAAGGAATCATTTACTTTATTTTTGTGAAATCAAATATGATTACGTTTACTTTGTACCATTTCATTGCATGTACTATTGCGATTTGACGTATCGATCCAAGTTCTTTTGGGTGCATTGACATATCAAATCTTTGGGTATTTTATCATATGATTTTACGAATTATATTGTAATCGGATAAATCTTGAATTTATTTTGTTATAAGAGTTACTTGATATTTATGTTAGGTAAATTTATTTTATGCTATTCATTTATTTTGATTTTATATCATAAAATTTGAAATCATAAAATTTATATTTTAAATATTAAAATTATATACCTTATCAAATAAATTTTATATATTCAATTAAAAAATATTTTTGTAAAAAGCTCCATGTATATTTCCAATTGCAATTCCTAGTTGAGTAGGTTCCTATAGTTTTTGAAATCCTAAGCATTGTCATTACTTAGGCCATATAGTGACATGGTAGGTAGGGATATTATAGAAATAGTGGTATTAAATAAATAAATTAGTGGTACATCTTTACCAATCCATACATACAACCCTTTCCTCTTAAGAAAAAGCTAAGAGTTTACTCGGAACTTAGAGAGTTAATAAACCACATTGGAATTAATAAAATTATATTTGTTTGTTTGTTTTTAAAGATATTTATATTTAATTATATTCATTTATATTTTTAATATCATATTTGTATCTATTTATTTATTTCTGAAGATGTTTATGTTCGATTTATTTAGTGTTCATTTACATATTTAAAAAATAATGAAATTACACCATCAGTTCTAAGCTCCTTAGGTTTCACAGTTTAAACTTTAAACTTTAATTTGTGTTCCATTTATTTTCTATATTCATTAATATTTAAAATATAAAAAACAAAAGAAAAGAAAAATCAAATAAATGAACTTACAAACTAGTCGATAAACAAATTTATAAACGAACTTGTTCGTAAAAATAAACAAACCAAATACAAACCTTTAATATTGAATCAGTTACTTCTTCTAATGGGTTTAATCCAATTCATTAGTTCTGGGCTTTGATTTTGTATCACACGGCCATGCATTCTTGCTTTTCTTCCCAATGTTGGACTACTTTAAATGAATCCCTCACACTTTATAATATGCCCAAATCAATTTGATTTGGGGTGAAAGTTCAGAGTGGCCATTTTCTGTAGATCCGTCGCTACAATACATAATTATAATAGTATTTCTCTAGATATATATTTTTCATTAGATCATAATTTTATCTAATAAAAATAATATAAATATATATTGAGTCGAATAGGAAAAATTCTAATCAAATTTTAGATCATGTAACAGACGAAGGGTTAAAATATTTGGGTAGACCCAAACATAGTACGACCTAACCTATACTCTCGACACTAGTAATAAATGAACAAATTACACTACCGGATACAATGACACATTTTGACAACAAAAATTACGTGGTTACTTAATTTTTTTTTTTAAAAAATAGATGTCTAAATTAAAATTTCAAAAAAAAAAATAAGACTTGATGAGAACTTTTTTAAAAATTTGAAGTAAATTTAATTAATATTTTCAAATATAATAAAAAATTCAAATATTTAAAGGATTAGATGTTAAATCTTTAAAATTAATGTCATGTGTAATAGAAGTTAATTTCTTAGTCCAAATCGGGGCAACACATTCAATATCATAGGAGCGACCAAAGGACAATTGGTCCCACTACACAATGACAATGATAGATGTCTAAATTTCAACAAGAAGAATGGACCAGCACTAAATTAATCATCAATCATACTCTCAAATGTTATCTTAAATTCCCCGTTCTTAGGCTTTTTACTTTAATCTCCAAGCTTATTAATTATTAAGGAAAAGAGTGATTAAAAAAGTTGTTAATGGGATAAGAATGTGTTTTGTTCCTTTCCAATCATATTTTATGCACAAAGTTGAGATCATGATTCCTATTTTGTAATAATTAATTTCACTCTTCCATCTTATAATTACTTAAATTGTTTTTTAAATGGATTAAAATTACAAAATTTTCATTTATTTAAGACCGAAAAGGATTAAATCGAAATTGTCATGTTTAAGAGGGGATAAAAGGAAACTTCACCGTTTCAGTATGAGGGGCCCACTACCCCTTCTACATTATTAGTTTTCACTTGGTTCGGTAATTATTATTTATTTAATGAGCTAAATCTCTTAAATATGATCAAAAATTTGAATCATGATGATAAACATGAAGAGAAATAAATTGAGCATATAATTCTAATAATGGATTTATACATCACGAACCACACTACTTAGTGTTTAGATATATAGTTATTCTTAAAGATTTTAAATTTAAACATTAAAAAAAATATAAGGGTTTGAACTTTACTATTACACTATAAGAACAGATAATTAATATGATGAGATGATAGTCAAAATTGAATGTTTTAAGACATGGAGATGGGCATCTCATGAACAAACTTCCAATAATCAATGCTTTCTTTTCAAAATCATGAGTAATAGTATCACCCATAAAACCCCCAATGGCCAAATGCCCCATTTGCTTTGTTTTCCTGTAATCAATATATTATGACTTTTATCACCCCATCAAATAGGGAGAGGTCAGGAATTTATTTCCTAAGAAAATTTTAGGTTTGGGTTGATAAATGGAAAATTAGGGTTACATTAGTTTGTATCATTATTTAAAATTTCAATTTACTTTGAAAGGAATAATAATTTAAATATTAGTTTTATTAGTAAAAATTATTCTCTGTGAGATTTATATTCAAATAATTTTTTATTAATTTATGATATCTATAATAAAATTAATCAAATTAAATTCAATCAATATAAATTTACTTTTTTAAACAATGACAACTGAATTTCATTAATAAAAATAATATAAAAAAAATCATAATTACAAAGTACTCAAACATAGAATGAAAAATATGGATAATAATCACAAAAAATTCATACATAAAACAAAAATATTAAATTCAGAGATACAAACAAAAACGAAACATTTCTTTGAGAATGACGTCCATCATTAAAAGATCTCAGTAACCTTCATAAAGCTCATTGTATCTGTCGAACGAGATGCTTTATGAAGTGGTAAATGAGTGATGAGATAACCAAAATATTTGACGAGCTGTTTTGCTACACAATTCTGATTAATCGACAAATAACCTTTTACCAAAGAGTCACCCGCGACTGAGCCAATATAGGACGAGGGATGTTAACCTTTTAGAAAATATTTTTTATATAAAAAATAGAAATATATTAGTCTTAAACATTTTAACATCTTTAAAATATAAATTGATTTGATCCTTTTTTTTTCAAATATTTTCTAAAATATCTAAAAATATAAAAAAAATCAAAACCCCATCTTAATCCCATCGACATTTTCCTTTTCAAAATACATTAAATATTTACTGATTTAGCATAAAAATATTTATTAAATAAAATAAGGTTATAGCATTTATTTATTTAACTAATAAACGAATATTACACGAACGGTTCACAAACAATTCAACAAACGTTTTGTTCGTTTACAATTATTTTAGTCATATTTAAATTAATTTATTGAGTATTAATGTATGCGCTAATTATATGATTATATTGGATGTTTTAATTTTTTAATCTATGACACCGTAATTTAAAATTTATTGCTCCACCATTGGAGGTCATTATACATGACCAGCAATAAACCAGTCAGAAAACAAATATTGTGAGTGTCTTTGTGTGAGCATCAAAATAACTATAAAGGTATGTGAATAACTTATTAAATGTCGTAAGGAACTTCCCACAAGAGTAGAGAAAAACGTGTCACAAAGATAAAAAATTTTATTAAAAATTTAAAAGAAGAAGAGAAAAAAAAAGTTAATAAAAGACATAGTATGAAATAATGTATGCGCTAATTATATGATTATATTGGATGTTTTAATTTTTTAATCTATGACACCGTAATTTAAAATTTATTGCTCCACCATTGGAGGTCATTATACATGACCAGCATAAACCAGTCAGAAAACAAATATTGTGAGTGTCTTTGTGTGAGCATCAAATAACTATAAAGGTATGTGAATAACTTATTAAATGTCGTAAGGAACTTCCACAAGAGTAGAGAAAAACGTGTCACAAAGATAAAAAATTTTATTAAAAATTTAAAAGAAGAAGAGAAAAAAAAAGTTAATAAAAGACATAGTATGAAAAAAAAATCAACGGTCGGCAATTAAGATTAAGATTGATGTCATCATCGACTAAATAAAAACCAAAGGAAGAGAAAGAATGTGGCATACAAATATTAAAAAAATATATAGATTAGAAAAAAAGATGAATCAATATTAAATTAAAATAAACATAATCATAGAAGAATGTGATAAATAAAGAAACAACATAAAATTTAATATATTAACATTTAACCTAGAAAAGAAAACATCAAACGCATCTCAACATCTATTCTTATTGTACAAGAGAAAGTTATTTTCCTCTCTTAAAAATATATCATAATTTTCAGTAAATTAATGAATATTCGACCTATTAATCAATTAATTTAGATTAAATTCTATAAGTAAATCGATGGATTTGATACAACTTGAAACCACTATTTCACAATACTTTATATTAATGAACTGGCTAAAAGGTTTATCTATTACAGAGGTCTCTCATGTGTTTCGCAAGAAAGGAAATTAATATACCAATACTCGAATCTACGTATTGGTATACCTACACTTATTCAATACCCATTTGGAGTTAAAATTATTATACAATGGAATATAGTTTTCTTGAAAAGGAAATAAAGAGGTTAAATAATTTGTAAAATTTATCTGGGATTATAACAACAGTGATCACCCACGTGGAGGAAAAGAGAAAGGTAAGGGGTTAAATAATTTGTTCCACTTGAAAGAAAAGGCCCGGCAAGGGCAAGTCCATCTCCCTTCTCTCACTGAGTTATCACCGAGTCATGTCTTATGGGACGTACTTGTTCTACTGTGAAATCTTCTGTTCCTCAGGCTTTCTGTCCCATCATCCACACCAATATTCCCAAAAGGAAAAAAAATTTTATGTAGGGACTCACTGAGTTTGCTTCCAGTCCAGAAACACCACCTCCCTTTAATCATCTTTGAACAATAGATCAAAGGGTCTGTCTCAAGCTCTAGTTCGTCCAAATCTGCAAAGAAATCCTCAGTTTGCTGCTGTGATTCCGGCAATGCTGGTACGTATGTTGGGTTGTCATCTATGTGTTTCTCGATGTCTTCAATCACCACTTCTCTTTAACTGATGTGCTTGTAGTGTCGTTGTTGTTGGTCTCTTTGATTGTGTTTTGGGGTTGAGAATTACTCGGTGACCCTATCTTACGACTACTAGCATTGGCTTTTGATGGCTGAGACCTCGTTGAACCGGCAAGGGCATTTCTTTGAGTTGGCCATGGATGGTTGTGCTCGGATGTGTACGTGATAACGAGCATGTTTGGATCGGTTCGGCTTCGCTCGACTTGTTTCCTCGCGGAGCAGCCTTTGGAACTGCTGCATCTGTAGTAGCCCCTGGAGTACAAGAATCAATTGCATTTAGTGTAAGCCGATTGAAATGATATAGTTTGATTTGTGATGATGATTATGACAACATGTTGTGTTATTGAGGAACACTATAACAAAACACGAACATGCATGTCAGATCAAAGATAGGTTCTGAGACATACTATTTTTTGGTTCCATCTTGCTCTAATCTACATAATGATAGCTTGACACAAACTACGCTTTCATTTTACTTTGAAATATTCGTGTCCGATACATAAATTTATAAATATACCTTGGATAAGGGGAACCTTTGATAGGTTTCTGGCCGTATTTTCTCCATGCCCACAGATCAGAGGGAACTACTTCTCCACTAGACCTGCTGTTTGCAGCTGCTGGTGCTGGTATGCAAACGACCTTCTTGGTCTGGCTCTTCTGCATAATATAGTCATGTTGGCCCAAACAAATGTAAATTTGTAAACAACACAAGTATAACATCGCGGTTCCAATTCTTGAGCACTTGAACTATAGTGCATCCCGAGTTAACTATCTCCTCCCGAGACAAGATTTTTGTTTTTTTGTTCCAGTTGTACAATTTAAGGCAGGGTTATCAGACATATAATTCATATTTTCAGATATATATACCATTTCTGGTTTTATTCAAAGCCTCTCAGCTATATATATGATAAATTATCATGTATCTAATGTTAATCACTCATTAGTAACAACATATAAACCCTAATTTCTGACCTCCTACATGTGAGTTTATGAAAGAAGAGCAGTGTAGTAAGTGACAAAAATTTGATATCAATCTTCGGATTTCAGTTTAATCAGACAATTCCTTCCCCTTCGCTTTTCATATATAGTTAATTAGAGAATTAAATATACCCTAACCTTCTCTTGATACCCAGATTCCGCGGATATGAGATCTGCACTGGGGCTGATACAGTGGTTTTATCAATCAAGCAACTTTTTGATGTGTTTACGCTAAGCATGTCGCTTGTAAGAACGGCAGGCGCCTTATGTCCCCTCGGGGAAACACTGGAAGCAGCCATCATCGGTGGGTCACACGGCGGCGGCGGCGGCACGGGTCGTGGACTTGAGCTATGGCCATGAGAGATCTGAATCCGTGAAAAGATATTACAAGGACTCGTCATATCATCAAGACCACCAGCAGAGAAGCTTGAAAAATTCGCGATATTGATTATACGATGATCGTTGGTGAATTAGGGCTGCTAAAGTAGCCAGGACTCGAACCGTTAAGCTCTTGAAGAAGAAGCGGATCTCTCATGGTGGAGAAAGGGTCTCCGAAGGCGTTTACTCTATGATCTTCCATGGCTGCAGTCGACGACGAAAAACTCAGAGGATCCGAGGTGAATTGTTGTTGCCATGGAACCATGTCTGATTGTTGAGCAGCAGAGGCTTGAACTATGTCGTTTAAATCACCTTGATAATTCTCCATTTCTAGACCAAAAACACTGCTCATGCTAACACGAACACAACAAATTACATTTAAGAAACAACTGATTCCACCATTTTTTTTTACTTGTCTCTAGCTCCCCTCTTTGCTCAAATTTGCACCAAATAAGCTAACATACGTATAAAACATGCATATTTCTGTCAATAATTTTGGTTCTTGATGTAAGAACGGAGATGGGTTTTGGTTATTACAAGAAACAAGACAAGAAGGGTGTTTTTTTGGAAGAACTAGAGAGAGAGAGAGAGAGACGCTGACTTCTCATACGAAACTGCTTTTTCTCTGTACGTAAGCTAATAACAATTTAACAAGTTGAAGAAGATATCGAAAGAAGAAAAAGAAAATCAGTTTTAACTGCAAAATAATACTGATAATTAATAGAACTGTAAAATAATAAAGTAATGAAGTCGTGAAGTGGGTGAATTTATAGTTTAATGCCTTTTGTTTATTTATTTAATAATAAAATTGACTTAACTTTATAATTGATATAATAATAGATTTACTCCTTTATATTTATACTTTTATCATTTAAGTCCTTATCATATTTTAATTAAATTATCTTTTTTACTCAAATTATTATTAATTCATCAAAATAATAATAATAATAACTAGACTGTCAAGGCTTTTACCATTATTGATAAATGACATTTATAATCAAAAGAGTCTTTACTATAAGTAATGATAAAAAGTGTTAATTAAAAAATTAACCACAAAAATATTAAAATAAATATTAATATTATAACATGTAATATTTAAGTAAAAATACTTTTATTATGATATAGTAAAAAATATTTACAATAAGTTTTTTGTTGATTAAATTGAGGCAATTACAATAAATAAATGAAAAAGATCATTTTACTTTCCTATTATTATTATTATTATTATTATTATTATTAACAGTATTTGTATGGGAAGAGAATTCAAAGCGGAGGCCGAGGAGGGATATTGCTTTCGGGTACGGGTTTGGGTTTACCCAAAAGACAGAGATGGAAAGTAAAGAAAAGACGCGGCAGGCAGCCGCATTTTTCGGAGGAAGTGGTTTCAAGCCCCATTGGTTGCTACGTACAGCAGTAATTAGCCATTTTAAAGTCATTTTAGTGTTGACGAACCAATCGGAGTCACTTTTGATGTATTTCACCTGCGAGGTTAAAAATAACTCTCTATTTTATTATTTTTATAATATAAAAAAATTCACAAATATGACAAAGTGTACGAATGACTTTCAATGTCGTTGGCCTAACATTATGAATTTATTCGTTTCATTTATAAACAGCATATAATTCCATTATTTCTTATTTAATTACAAAATCCTCCCCACCGATTTATAATTTATTTGAAAATCAAATTTATTCATCTCCCAGTCATCCTTTGTTTATCATAAAACATTATATATTAGATTTACATAAGCTGTGATGAACCCTAAATTTGCAGCTAACAGAATAATACCACTCATCTACTCCACGTAAAACGCGAGTATAATAAAGAAAATAATCGAAAAATAAATACATATAAAATTAAGTCAAATAAAAAGAAAATAGACAAAAAGGAGGGGGTAATAAAACAGTATTATCTCTGCATATCAATGTCTTGAAAATACTTGAATCCATTTTATTAAAAACATTCTTGATTGAGAGTCGTCTAGCTTTTATATAGACACTTGCCACATTCTTTAATTATAAATACATACATTTTATTAAAAACAAAAGTATTCAATGTTTAGAAAAAGGTGAATAATTTGTTTATGAGACAGTCAAATAATATTAGTTTATGTCAGGTGAAGATGATTAGGTTGTTGATTAAGGTTTTACTGGTTCGTAGGGCGCCGTAGACTTGAATGGTTAGATATAGGTCAAATAATATAACATACTTTGGTTTTGGTCTCTTCTTCGGCTTTTGGTCTAAAAGTAGGCTCCCTTCTATTTACTTTTTCATTTAAACAAACCTAAATCTTAGTTATTTCAATCATGTTTGATTAGACATTTAGGTTTTTGCTAACCTACTTTTGGAGTTTCATTTTAATATATACAATATAAAATATACAGATAAAAGATTATCATGACAATTACCTTTTTAACATATGCAAGTTAATTATATTATCGTCTTTAAATCAAATTTGATTAAAGATTTTTCACTTTAAATTTAAATTCGACTGAATTTATTTTACTCTAAAAAAATGCGACTGAGATCAAATACTAATCCCTACTCTCAACACCATATTGCTATCCAGTTTTAAGTTGGAGATTTCAAAGGGACAATGATGGTTCAGCGGCCCCCTTATGTTTGATGAGACATTTTAAGAATATAGTGTGCCAAAATCAACCATTTTCTCTCCCACTCGTGTTTGTCTTCAAAAACCTTAAATATTACCCAACTCGACGCTGAATGCTCTTGTTTCCACGCTTAATTCCACGTACAAGTTTGACGCTTCTCTGGGCATTATCCTAATTTCAAATTACTTGTTGTAATAAACAAGCCTGAAACTCCAGTGTAATGAATTCTTCACATGGGTATGAAGCATTCACACTAATATTTTATTTATTATAGAATCCACGTACAGAATGAATTTCAAGACAAAGATCACACCCAACTACAAAAATTCATCTTCTTCAAATTATTTCCTTAACCGACTCTCAACCTATATCTAAAATAAAGCATTAAGACATTTAAATCAATAATATTTAAGCTTCTCTTTTTGTTTCTTTCCTATAGAGGAGAAGCAGTTGTAAGTTTAATTATAATATATAAATTGATGATCGACTAAGATTTTGTTGGTAGCAAGTCTTTGAGTTTTTTTTAAAAAAAAAATCATTTTTTAATAAATTAAACTAAGATTACATCAATTCATATCCTTGATTAATGTTAATAGTTAAATATAAAAATATTTAGATTATTTGATATTACGTAATATGTCACGATGTTTTCATTTAATATTTTAAAAATTTTATTCTGAAAACTTAATAAATATCATGACAGATTTTTAATTTATGATTTTAATTAGATATAAAAATTAATTTAAATTTTAATTATTTCCCTCAAAATTTAGGGGTAATATTAACATTTTCGGTAGAAAAAAAATAATGTTTTAGGTAGTATTTTATCGAAAATGTTAAACATTTTAGGTAGCGTCCAATATTAACATTTCCGATAGAAAAATTAATGTTTTAGGTTGCGTTTTACCAAAATGTTAAAAAAATATTAACATTTCAAGTAGCATATTTTCTTAGCCGTATATTAAGGTTGTCGTACCCATATATCTTCATCTATTGCGATACGGAATTTATAAAATACTTATCCCATGTTCCATCATGTCATATCATATGACAACAAATTAATAGATTTCTTAGGTCAAATTCTAATTTTGGTCCCTCTATCTTGTTAAAATTTGGGATTTAAATATTTTACTCGACTCTTATTATAACATTGATAATCGCGAATATCAATTCAACGATAGTAATTAATGGTATTGTTTATCTGAACCTACTAATATAACATTATAAAAGTGACAAAAGTTTACCATATTAGAGAGAGTAAATAATAAGTTTCAACAATGTAAAAGGACTAAAATCAGAGCTAAACCAATTTTCTTGGTAAGACTATTCAACACGCAAGTTTATTATTTTATTGTGTTCCTATTTTATAGCCCACCAGCATCCTAATCTGGCCAATGTGAAGCAAGGTCGTAATCTAATCACATTATTTATTAAGAATAAAATCATCTCTTATTTTATAGCCCACCAGCATCCTAATAAACTATTTATTATTCTAGTCGTTATTTTTTATTAAATAAATCAAAATATACTTTAATTATAATTGCCAACCCCTTGTTAGGGGCTGACAAATGGTCACTGTTCCATCTATGCTTTAACCACCAGAACTCATTGAAAAATACATGTGAACTTTATAAAAATGAAAACATGAATACAAAGGCCAGGTTTTTCTTCCCGTCTTTAAATAATAAAGGCTCATTATCACTGTACTTCCCATTACTCCTCCCCCCATCTTCATCGCCTTCCACATTATCCCGGTCCCTGTTCCTGCCCTATTCCTATAATCCCTGTCATCCTCATTATCTCGGATTCGATCCCTATTTCTTCCCGTCTTCCATATTCCCTCCTGTCATCCTCCTCCTTAGATTGATCTTTATGCCTACTCCTATCTCTTTCTCCATCCCTATCCCTCCTGCCTCTTTCTCTATCCCTGTCCATCTTATCTCGCATTTCCATCTCAATTCTCTTCTCTAGTTCTTTAGACCTATTCTTATCATCTGCAATCGCTAAAGCTTTAGATTTAGACTTCTTACTGTCACCGGCGTTTTCCGCCTTGGATTCCTTGTTCGGAGGCTTTGGAGGCAGAATCGCGTGGATAACAGTGAGAAGCGTGCGGACGAAGTAATCGGGTAACACGGCGCCGTTTTCTTTGAGCTTGGCATTGAACTCGTCGACAGTGTTGGAGTTGCAGCCCATTTCGGTGATGAACTCGGCCAAAATCTTGTCGGAAAACCCGACATGGCTCTCCAGTTCGGAACTGACTTTGGAGACAAGAGATAGATATTCGAGTTTCTTCAGAGCATAGTCATGTGGACACGATGCCATTGACAAACCTTTAGGTGTTCCTTAAGGATTCACAGTCTTGTATGATTAGTGCTTTTTGTCAATTTGATTGACAAAAAAATTAAAAACTTCAGTCATTTTATGAGGCCGAAAAATTTCTTCCCGAAACTTCAAGAAAGTTCAGCCATCTTTGGTAGGCCGAAATGGACTGTTTTTATTATGAAAATAATTCATATTTTTAGGATAAAGTACACAAATAGTCCCTTGACTATAGGGTGATATTTTTTAAGTCCCTTAACTATCAAAAGTTAAAAAAATGGTCATTCGACTATAGGACGTTGTTTTGTTGAGTCTACCGACTATTAAAAGTTATAAAATGGTCACCCTAAAATCTAATATGTTCCAAACTCGTCTTTTTTCGTTAAAAAATTGACAACAATCTGAGTTGGACGTTAACATGTTGATTGTGATATGATATATTTTTTTAGATTATGAGATCATTTTTATCATATCTCAATCATCAGGTTAAAATCGAGCTCAAACTGTCGTCAATTTCTTAACAAAAAAGGATGAGTTTGGAACACACTAAATAGTCGCGTGACTATTTTGTAACTTTTAATAGTCGGGGGACTCAACCAAGCATTATCCTATAATTGAATGACTATTTTATAACTTTTAATAATCGAAGAATTGAACAAAACATCACCATATAATTGGGGACCATTTGTATACTTTATCCACAGCTACTTTTATGGTTTTTATGTAAACATATCATCATTGGAAACGTGGTATTGCATTCCAGAAAAAGAGAAATCTAAAATAAGCAAAATAGCATTGGTGAGACGCCGGTCAATGAATGCATGGGGAAAATCCTAATTTAAAGTTGTACAAAAATAGCTTCCTCCATTGAAATCGAAACATAAGAGAAGAGAAATGCTTTAAATTTCCATTAAACTTAACTTCCAAAAATGCAAAACAAAACAATGGCAATTCCGATTGTGTTTTCTCTTCTTCTTTTCAGTTTTTCATTTTCAAGTGCAGCCCCGGATCCGGCCTATCAAACGCTTCTCCAATGCATGAGTCAGTCCATCGGATCCCCCAATGCTTCCTCGATTATCATCCCTCCCACCAATCCCAATTATACATCTGTATTGGATGCACGGATTCATAATGCTCGTTTCAACAGATCTTCCACGCCTAAACCGGCCATCATCATCACTCCAATGGATCCCACCCATGTTTCCGCTGCCGTAATCTGTTCCCAGAAGGTCGGTTTCCAGCTCAAAACCCGTAGCGGCGGCCACGATTACGAGGGCTTTTCTTACGTTTCCGACAAACCCTTTTTCATGCTTGACATGGTTAATCTACGTTCGGTAGCTGTGGACGTGAAAGATGAATCGGCCTGGGTTCAAGCCGGTGCGACGCTGGGTGAACTTTACCATGCTGTATGGGAAAAGAGCAGCGTCCATGGATTCCCTGCCGGGGTGTGTCCAACGGTCGGAGCCGGCGGGCACATTGCCAGTGGCGGGTATGGTACCATGATAAGGAAACACGGTATGTCGATAGACCATGTTGTGGATGCCAACATAGTCGATGCCAGCGGCAAAATACTAGACCGAAAAGCCATGGGAGAAGATCTTTTTTGGGCTATAAGAGGCGGAGGAGGAGGCAGCTTCGGCGTTATTATATCCTATAAGATAAAGCTCGTCCATGTACCGGAGAAGGTCACCGTTTTCAGAGTCCAACAATCAATAGCCGATAAAGGCACCGACGTTGCTTTCAAATGGCAAACAGTCGCCGCAACAACTGATAGTAATCTCTTCACGAGAATGCTCTTGCAACCCGATACGAGTAAAGAGGTAACGTCAGTGAGAGTTACGGTCATGGGATTGTTCTTGGGGGATGCCGATGGCGTTGTAGCTTTATTAGCCAAAGATTTCCCGGAACTCGGTTTAAAGAAAGAGAACTGTACCGAAATGAGTTGGATCGACTCAGTTCTTTGGTGGGCAAATTTCGATCCCGGAATGCCACCGAAGGTTTTGCTGGACAGAAACAATCAGAACACCAAGTTCGTGAAGAGGAAATCAGATTATGTTCAAACACCGATTCCCATCTCCGGGCTGGAATCTCTATGGAAAACGATGGCTGAAAACCCAAAAGTGGGATTGACATGCAACTCATACGGTGGAAAAATGAACGAAATTAAACCAGAGGAAACTGCATTCGCTCATCGTGCTGGGAATCTGTACAAGATACAGTACTCGTTGAACTGGAACGATCCAGCAAATGAAGCGGAAGAGAGTCACTTGAAACAAGCGAGAGTAGTTCACGAGTTCATGACTGAGTTCGTGTCGAAGAATCCGAGGAGGGCTTTCTTGAATTACAGAGACGTGGATATCGGAACCGCTAAAACTTGGAGCTATGAGGAAGGGAAATCGTATGGATTGAGCTATTACGATGGGAACTATGACAGGTTGGTTGATGTGAAGACCAAATTCGATCCCACCAATGTTTTTAGAAATGAACAAAGCATTCCTCCTCGTTCCAAATAAGATTAATTAGATGATTAAATTCACTGCATGCTTCGTAATTAACTCATGGATTTTACCTACATGATGGTTTGTAAGTTTTCTTATTTAATAATTTCAATTTATTCCAATTTAAATATATTTGCATGTGGTCACGTGTCGTTCGGTAAGAATCTTTGTTCTTAAAGATCCTTTGTTTTTCTGCAAGCCCGAAGAAAAGTTCTGGGAACTCAATTTCACTTGTTTGATACATTTCATAGTTTCTGAACAATCCACAAACTCTTCTTTATCTCAATTTGTATCTAAACTATAGCGTCCGATATAGTTGGGTCATACTCCAACGGATCTAAAAGCTAAAAAATAAGAGTTAATATTTTATTTCTTGAAAAAAATGAGTATGCAAATTTCTTTATTTTTTAAACTCCCCTTCATATAATAAACTAAGTTTAATATTTTTTTCTCAAAATAATAGGTATGCAATTGAACCCCTCGAAGTTATACATCCGCCCCGAGATTATCCTAGATTTCACGTTTATCTTATTCAATCATCTTGTAATTCTGTAACATATGTTTTGGCCAAATGAGTTTGTATATCATTGTCTTCGCTACTTTTTGACTCGATTTATCCCGAGATTATCTCTTCGGAAGTGACAAATGATGTACGATTTATTTGATTTATACAGTTGGACACTCTTTTATCCTCGTAGGTTCAACACCTTGTGTTGATTAGAAATGATTTTTAATAAGACCCATTTTCCTTTTGGGGGGGGGGAAACCATCTACCCCTAACTGCGACAATGTCCCGAGACATACTTAGCAAGGCACCAAAAGTACAATCTTCTTTTTTATTAATCTAGTGTATTTACAAGTGGTAGTATATGTTCTAAAGACTTTTAACCATTTGACAATGAACGCTAAAAAATCATCGTATTCTATGGTGCTCAAAGTTAAGACCTCTAGTAATAACAACTATTTCTTTAAACACTAATTTATTCACGGTTCAAGAAAAAGATTGATTATCAATGTTGAAATTAGTGAAGTAAATAAGACGAGACATATCATAAGTTATTTGAGTTTGACTTGATCAAAGATTAATAATATCAACATTGATATATAATTTAAAAGATAAATGCAATGTAAGGTTTTCATGTACTTAAAGTTCAAGTTCAAACTTGAATCAAGTTAAGAGTTTGAGTTTCAATCAATTAAATTTGTGAATGTTTTGAGCTTTATTTTTTTAGCTCGAGTCGAGCTTAAATTTTTTATTTCGAGTTGAGTTTAACTTTAAACTTTTCAAATTGAATTCAGTAATACTCGAACTTGACTCAACTTTAACTTAAAAGTGTGGCCAATAATCAAAGTCGGTGTATGTGGTTAAAATTTAAAATATGATTTGGAAAATTAGATATCGATTGAAGATATAACGATCACACATGTGGATAGTCTTAAACAGGCTAGGGCACTATATAATTTAGATGTGTATGAAACCCATGATCAAAGTTTGGATATGATCATTTAACTATTAAAATTAGTTAGATTCTATCATTCAAGTATTAAAATGATCAATTTAGACACTAATAGTTATAAAAACTTTAATCATCTTAGGCTCATTTGGTGGAGTTTTTAAAAGAACTTTTGGTTTCAAAATCACTTATTAATAGTAGAAATAATGCCAAACAATATATCTTTTGTTATCAAAATACGTTTAAACCCGAGTTTTTAATTCAACTAGAAAAGCTGAACATTTCAGCAGTTGAGGTGAAAAAGCTCGTTTAGAATAGAAAGACAAATTTACCCTCATGCTTGTTACAGTAATAATAATTTTGCTTTAGTATGTTCGTGTCTTTTCATTCCTTTTTTTTTCGTTTGCTGTCTATAGACAAATTTTAATTTAATTGTTGTTTAAAAATTATAAATTTATTAATTTAAAATTATTTAATTAATTTTATTAAAATATTTAAACTAACATTATTGATTTTTATTGTAATATTAAAAAATTGTTATTGATTTTTAACATTAGTGAAGTTAATTTATTTTTAATTTACAATATCGTGTAAGAAATGGGATTGTAAGATGATTTTAGTTATATAATTTAAAAAAATAATATAGTCATTTAATTTTTTTTAATTAAGTTAAGATGATTACAAAGTAGTATCTATTTTAAATATTCTCAACTATATGACAATAAAAGTTCAATCACCCTCGTAGTCGCTGGTGCTTGAATCTATGACCTCTAGGAACAATAACAATTCCTTTAACCATTGAAATAATTTGGTTCGTGTATTTAATTTTATATTTATCTAAAGTTATAAATTATAATTCAATTGTAAATTATGAGTAGCATAAAGTCCATAGCATTTGCAAATGGGATTGTTTGTGTAGGAAGAAATTGAGTTGGATTCCTTCAAAGGAAAACAGGGGCGGTTCTTTCAATGGCCCATTTATCTTCTAAGCATCATTCACTTTCCTCTATGAAATTGAGCCAAATTCATCAACAATAATCATAATAATATCAATAATATACAATTGCTTTGGCGTGCCGTATAAGTGGATTGGAGTAAGTTTTGGCAATTTGGATGGTGGAATTAATTTCTTCAAGTAATAACGTGTTTCTCTTTAGATGTGGACATCATCTCATTTAAAATATATTTATACTGAACTTTAAAATAAAATATTAAATATTTATTGGGTAAAGTACACAAATAGTCCCTCGACTATAGGGTGATACTTTGTTGAGTCTCTCGACTGTTAAAAGTTACAAAATAGTCCTTTAACTATACGGTGTTACTTTGTTGAGTCTCTCGACTACTAAAAGTTACAAAATGGTCACTCGATTATTTAGTATGTTCCAAACTCGTCCTTTTCCATTAAAAAGATTGACATTGACGACAAGCCGTTAATTTTTAACGAAAAATGACGAGTTTGGAACATACTAAATAATCGATTTACCATTTTGTAACTTTTAATAGTCGGGGGACTCAACAAAGCAACACCCTATAGTCGAAGGACCATTATGTAACTTTTAATAGTCGATGGACTCAACAAAGCAACACCCTATAGTCGAAGGTCTGTTTTGTAACTTTTAATAGTCGAGGGACTCAACAAAGCAACACCCTATAGTCGAAGTGTTATTTTATAACATTTAATAATCGATACACTCAACAAAGTATCACATTATCGTCGGATGATCATTTGTATACTTTACCCATATTTATTTTAATTAAAAAAAAACCTTTAGCCTACAACAAAAAGATTGTATAATTTAGATGGGTAATATTTTCAAATAAATCTAATTCCAACACATAATAACTTTGTGAATGTATTGATAAGGAAGGATTTAAATAATTTAAGAGAATATTATTATGTAAGGTTGACGTTATGCATAAGTAAGCTATGTAATGAAAATAATATTTATTGATATATTAAGTTCATCATGGTCAGATTTCAATTGAGATTAGGTAGCTTTTTGATAAACAAACATAAATCTAAAGCTTGATTAGTATTGTAATTAATACTATATTAGTAAGTAAGAGACAAAGTTTAATTAAGGATGAAATGGAATGGGAAGGGGATGGGATGGGTTAATAGTAATTTTATTATAAAAATGTGCAGAAAAAGCAGTGCTGGATTTGACTATTTAAAACCCACAAATGGTGTCCCCTCAATATTTCTTTATATTAAAAAGTTAGGGTAAACTACACTATTAGTCACCTAATTAATACCTTTTTTTGGATTGAAATGGGTCATAACATTTTACACATAAAAAGCCTAATTTCAAGCTGAGATCTCACATTGGAAGAGACGAAGAAATCTAATTAAACATGGTTAACCCACCAACCAACGCAGCTTTAACTCTTCTTACATTTTGACTAGCTTCTTTATATATGCTCAAATTCAAGCTTATATTGCTTTAGAACAAAAAATAAGTATAATAACATTTTTGTATATGTTGAAAACATATTAATTTTATGAGATGAATCTAATTAAATGATGTGATGTTAATTTTAAAAAAATGTTATAACATTTTAAAGTGATATAACACGTTCATTTGTTTTATTGTAACTTAAAAAGAATTGAATAATTGTCTTTTTGGCAGTGTTTTTTTTTTAATGATAATAGAAGACAGCCTAACTAATATTTAGACTTTAAATATGGAGGTCCAAGGACATCTCTTTCCAATAAAGGAAGGACGAGAGTAGGGATATCATGAATAGCATCAGTGACAATTCGAGAATGATCAACAAGCATATCAATTGGTTTGTTGGCTTCCAGCGCTACTCATTTGAAGCTTATTGACCAAACATTCTTCTGCATATTATCAATATAACGAACTAGGGGGATCGTGCACGAATACACCACAGGAATTTGAGTGAGTTTCAGAGCCTCCATACTATCGAATTGGATTTGTAAATTGGTCATACAGTTCTCCCAAACAAGTTGTAAACCAATTAACAGTGCCCAAAGCTCGGCTTGATTTTGGCAGTTTTTTTAATTATTATAAATATATCATAATCAATGTGTGTAATTAGGGATGTGCATGGGTGGGTTTTTGTCCACCCGACCCGAGAACAAGGGAGCCTTCACCAGAGACTCGACCCAACCCGGCCCGACTATATGACTTAGAAATTCGATCCGAAATAATAAAAACAATTATTTTTATTCAATAAAAATAGTGACTTAATTGAAAAAAATTATATATAGAATGATATTATTGTAACTATTCCGAAATATATAAGGTAAAATTATATATTTTTTCGGGTCGGGTCGGGTCGGGTATTTTTCACCCTAAATCTGATCCCGACCCGAACCTGTTTTTTTTTTAAAAAAAAAATTGACCCGATCGGTCGGGTCGGGTCAAGTCGGATCCCTATGTGTAATTCACAAAAGTAAAGTTATTTCCGAGAACATGATTCTTAAAATGTAATATTATCTCACACATTATCATTATCGTTACATTATCTTGTTTGATTTATTTATACAATAACAACAACAAAATATATTTCATATGTAATGGGGTAAGGGGG